ACTGCCCTATTTGAGAACCTTTTTTTCTCTTTTTAACAGTGAGTCAGCTGAATCATTAGAAAGTCAGAAGTAGATGAGGTTTAAAACCAACTCACACAAGATAAGATTGGCTTTATTTGCCACCCACCTACGGATGATAAAATCTGGTCAAATCATTTCAACCAGCTCATCTGAAATTACTGACTGATTCCAAACTAACAGAGAAATGTATCTGTCACCAGTGGAACTGTAAACAGCATGATGTGCTGTGTGAGAAATGAGATCGACAAACTTGACAGGCAGAGAAAATACTTGGCAGGATAGATGGAGAAGGTTTACAAAATGTAAACAGTGAACATACCTGTCACCAAGACAAATAAACTTGATGTAAAGTTGGCCTTTGGTGAATCTAGCAAGTTGTAAATGAAGTTACACACAATAATGTAATAAGCATTGATTTTCTTCAGGTTACGTCTAATCTGGTCACAAGATTTTCTCTCCCACATTTAACGTTCACACAGAATCAAAGCAGGAGTCTTATGACTATCTAATTGCCAAAACTGTCCAACATAATTTTGCCAAGTTTATAAGGTCAGGGAGTTTCTATCTTAAAGTCTCATCAAACTCTTGTCATCAAGTTAACCAATAAAAGACTGGGCAGATACACTTTTGGCCTTATTACATTATTGTTACCATTATATTATGAGCACTGAATATTACACTCTGAACCATGAGAGGGGTTGCTATAGTATAAAGTAACCTTTGTTGTAGTTGATATCACCCAAATGATTTGAAAGAGCTGGACAGACTACCCCCAAGTCTGTTTAGACTGAACTGAATTTGTTAGTGGGACTTCAGGTTGAACAAATCTTTTTTCAGTGCTGATTTTAATCTTTTTCAGGCTTCAGTGCACCTTCAGGGATGTTCTGCTAATTGTTTTTTGTAATGCTTGGTCCTTACTCTCCACTGTTTACAATAAAGCCTCTGGTGAGCGGAAATAAGAGCCGCCCCAATAATCAACTCCTTTAACCAAGGGGCTCAGGGCATAATGTCTGATTAGCCATTTCAATGGCCACAAGACTGGGTCAGAGCCGGAGTGAGTAGAAATCCAAATAATCTTTTGCTACAAAGCCTTTCAACTTTTGTCAAAAATAAGAGCCAGTCAGTCGTCTTGATAAACATTTGCCCACTATGGGCCAGCTTTAACACAGATTTCCCTTTTCTGTCTTTCAACTCGACTCTAGGTTCCTCTGAGTGCATGGAGTCTTGTTTTGAGATATCCGTCAGCTTCGTAGAAGCCAAAACGCTTAACTCCACAAGTTTTAATGATTGACTAAATCTGAAGGGTTGATATTACAATTACTTTAGGGTTAGGCATTTAATTAAAGGTCCAGTGTGTAATCTATTGGCAGGAAATGAAGGGTGAGGGGTATTCAGCTGCAACATGCAACTTCCCCACAAGATGTCACAAAATTCTACACACTGAACCTTTAAAATTGTTGAGGTTGGGAATGTTCATTGTCAATGAGTGGCCTTGTAGGTGAGTGTCTGTTCGTCCGTCTTTAGTGAGCAACTTTTTACTCAGTAAATTAGAAACCACACAGAATGAAATGCTGATCTGTGTCCAAACAAACAATTTATGCTTTTCTAATATAGTGCTTATTCATTTACTTTCAGAAGTTTATTTTATTTTCCTGTATAGGCATGTCATTTTAATTGTTGTGAAGCCATCTGAGCCATCATTAGCATGATTTTGAACTGATCATGTACTCAGTTATTTTCTGTTGCTCCAGGACTTAATCAAGTTAAAAATGCACCAATCTGCCACAACATAAAACCAGTTACTGGCTATAATAGGGTGGCTGATTGATGTATTCCAATTCCCACTTATATTATAGTGAGTGATTGCATATGTGCTTTTACCCCAAACAAATCAACCACTGGTTTAATCTCTAAATTACAACTGCATAAAAACAGAGATGCTCATCAACGGAGTTCATTGTGAGTCTGCAGGTATGCTACAGGCCTGAGTTACTATACTAGGAACATTAACTCACTTTCACAGCTTAGTGTTGCTTCAAGATTCACAGTCAAGATCTATTAGCTCAACATGTTTTAGCAGCTATGAACCGGCTCTCCATCTTTCCTTATATCAACTAAGGTAGTAGACAAGTGCAC